ATAGTACATAACTTTCATTGGGATTCTGTTTAGTACATTCTAAAGTTACACATTATATTTTGAAAAAAGAACAATTTATAAGTATGCAATATAATTAAAACAACTATCCATGCCAATTCAAATCTATCATTAATATTAATATTCATTTAAATCTTAAACATTTTACACATTACTTTTCAATTGAATATCATACTTTTATGGGAACACTTATACTTTCCATAATTATTCCCCCCCACTTCAAATCACTTATATTTTAAATCGTTGTGTCATTTAAATGTTCCCATTTCCTCCTACTTCAATTCTTTCATTTATTTCATTGCCTTCCTTTTATTCACAAAAATTTCACTAAGTTACACTGAATATTTTATCCCATTTTTTGATCACATGTTGTTTCCAATTTTCTAACATTATTTCTAAGTACAAATATAACAATACAATCTTATGTACCTTTGCAGAATCCCCTTTTCAATTAAATTTTACCCATTATCTCTAAATGAATCTTGTTTCCTTTACATCTTGCTCCACACCATTGAGGCTTCTCATCCCTTCCTTCCTCCCTCGCTTCTTCTTCTCCCTGCCCTTTTTACCCCCTTGTCTCTCCACCTCCCTTTTCTTCTTCTGCATTCCCCCTTTCTGTTGTTTTCTAACATTATATCCACTTTTCACCTTATTTTTCTCTTTTTTGGTTGTTTTTTTGAATCTTAAAGTCCCCTTTTTCTTATCCTCCTTCTCCCTTTCTTCCCCAAATACAGTTACTTGTTCATCAAAGATGGCTTCTTCTTTATCCCAATCATCTTGTTGTGCAGTTGCAGTCAGTTTCTCATAGGTGCAAATCGCCATTTCTAAGAATTGAAAAAGAGTGCCAAGAGAGTCTTTCCCTTCTTGTTCTTCTTCTTTGTATTTTTTGAATTCAATTTTTAATTCATCTACAAGTGATGCCATTGTAGAAAGAAATTTTTTTTTCCAAAACAACCACCCAAGTGTTTTTAGTCCTTCAAAGATAATTTCCAAAAGTCCCCAAGTCACCAAACAGTCCAAATAAGCTGTTTCTTTTAGCACTTTCTTCTTTCTTCACTTTATCTTTCTGGGGTTACTGTTTAGTTGCAAAGTTCCAGTTAAAATGTATCTTTTAGAAGTCTTGTTAGTATTTAATGATTCTTTAAAAATTCTAGGCAATCTCCTCCTTACTTCCAAATCCTGCTCCAATTCTTTTCCTCTCCCTTCCCACTTACAGCAAAAATTTTTTTTTAAATGTTCAGAAATCCTTATTATCCTGTTAGCATTTAATTATCCAGTTTACCTATTGATGCCAAAGCGGGTTTTTCCGATTTCTCATGTATTTCTGTTCGCTGTCATCGTTAGGAAGGAGAGTGAAAAAAAATAACTTTCCCTTTTAAATTCCATTCGCCGCTTGTAGATCTCTGGGAACAATGTATCTTGTACAGATTTTAAGTTCCAGGATGCCTTCATTGTTGCTTTGTCCTGGTCAGCAAAAAAACTTTCACTTCTTAACTTCTCCTGTACTTTCTTTTCCAGCTGAGCGCTTCTTTGTGGCAGACATTTCTGACCGCCGCTCTACCGCCTTCGGAAAAGGGGGTTTAGCCGGCTAGGGAAGAGAGGTGTGATTTCTCTCGACCCTGTCAGATCCCCCCTATCTTCACCACCTTCTACGGAGGTGGCTAGCCCTGAAGCCAGATGACTCAGGACACTCCAGTGGTGAGTGCAGGCAGAAACCATGCACGATCGCGGATTCCTGCCTGCCCCGAAGCGCTGCAAACCGGAACTCTCCAATACCTCACAGAGTTTATTGTTGCACCATGTTCCAGAAAATCGATAAGAAGCACACCTTGCCTATCCCAAAAAAACAGTCACCATAATCTTCCTTGCAGAGAACGTTTGCAAACATTTTCTTGGTTTTGGGGGGAATTTGTGTGCCGCCACTCCATAGACTGCAATTTGGTCTCGCTGTTCACATGTTTGACCCAAGTCTCGTCTCTAGTTACGATTCGATCAAGAAACGAATCTCCATCTTTGTCGTAAGAGTACAGAAATGTCAATGATGCAGCCATACGCTGACTCTTGTGGTTTTCTGTCAGGATTTTTGGCACCCATCTTGCACAAAATTTGTGGTAGCCTAGCTTTTGTGTAACAATTTCATGCAACAAACTACGTGAAATTTGTGGAAAACTAAGTGAAAGTTCCGTTACTGTGAAACAGCAATTTTCACAAATCTTGTCATCGACTTTCGCGACCAGTTCATCGGTCACAATGCTCGGACGTCCACTCCGCTATTCATCATGAACGTTAGTTCAGCCATTTTTAAACTTAATGCACCATTGGCGCACTCCACCTTCATTGATGATGTTGTCCCCGTACACTTCACACAGTTGCCGAAAAATTTCAATCGGTTTATGGTTTTTTGCCAATAAAAACCTTATCACTGATCGCACCTCACAACTCGCGGGATTTTCAATTGCAGCACATTTCAAACGTTTGCTGTGAAATAACGGGCAATGATACGAACCTCCTACTAGCACAACTAGATGCAGACTGAGCGGCGGACGCACAGACCAAAGATGGCTGCACTAGCTCCGCCCCTTCTTGCTACAGACGAAAACATAATCTATTTTGTGGATAGCCCTCATACAAAGACCTACATATAGACATAGAATGACTATGGCAAAGGCAAGCAAGGGTAGTACCAATAGTAATAGGGGCCTTGGGTGCAGTCCCAAAACAACTGGAGCACCACTTGAACACCATAGGCATCGACAAATTTGCCATCAGTCAATTGCAGAAGGCAGCTTTACTTGGAACAGCTTCTATCCTGAGGCGATATCTGTAACACCATAAAATATCCAGATTTGCCTAGGTCCTTGGTAAAGACTCGATAGACAGACAAAAATGCCAAACCCAGTCTGAACATCTGGCTGACTGCGAATAATAATAATAATAATAATAATAATAATAATAATAATAATAATAATAATAATAAACAAAATAATATAATCATCATCATTACCATTTCCAAGGGAAAGTAGATAAGGAAAAGACCTGGTTATGGCTGACCAATGGAACACTGAAGAAAGAGACAGAAGGCCTGATTCTTGGAGCCCAAGAACAAGCCGTCAGAACGAATGCAATCAAAGTCAAAATAGAAAAATCTGCTGATGACCCCAAATGCAGATTCTGCAAAGAAGCATATGAAACCATCGATCACATACTGAGCTGTTGTAAGACAATTGCTCAGACTGACTACAAACAACGTCACAACACAGTCGCTCAGATGGTATACTGGAATTTGTGTCACAACTACCATCTGCCTGTAGCAAAGAACTGGTGGGATCATAAGCCTGAAAAAGTGATCAAAAATGAGCATGCAAAACTACTATGGGACTTCTGAATACATACTGATAAAGTTTTAGAACAAAACACTCCGGATATCACGATTGTGGAGAAGAAAAAAGTGTGGATCGTCGACATTGTCATACCAGGTGACAGCAAAATCAATGAGAAACATCTTGAAAAAATCACCAGATATCAGGACTTGAGAATCGAACTGCAGAGACTCTGGCATAAACCAGTGTAGGTGGTTCCAGTGGTACTCGGCACACTGGGTGCTGTGCCTAAAGACCTAGGCAAACGCTTAAAAACAATTGGCGCTGACAAAATCACCATTGGTTAGCTGCAGAAGGCCACCTTACTGGGATCTGCTCACATAATCTGCCGGTTCATCACCCAGTCCTAAACGCTTGGGAAGTGTTCGACTAGTGATTTATGATACGAAATCCAGCATAATTATCTCGTTTGCTGTGTACATTGTTGTTTTTTGTGAATAATAATAATAATAATTCCTCAGTGACACTCCCTTGATGTGGTTGTAGGGCTTGTGTGCTCTGAAGAAGATGAAAGTTTTGCCAGAGGTTAAACTATACTGGACAAGTCTCATAGGAGGAGTCAGACATGGAGTGTCTCTCCCATAAAAAAATATGGTGAGACATAAATTACACAAATCCATACTGGCTCAATTATTCCCCGAATTCACAAGGACTGTATTAGATGTTGAAGTTCCAGGATATCTGGTTAAAACTTGCTACAGGACCCAGGACTGTTGGCTAAGTAACCAGAGTCAGCAGCTACAGAACTCCTGGAAGAAAAACAATACCAAGGATTATTGCTGGTTGTGCCAACAGGATTTGGAAATGGGGCACAATGAGAATATTGTGGTCATTGGTTTTCTTCAAGCGCATTTGCTTATCTTCTCTGCTCAACATGACGCAGCAAATCATTCATTTTACTAATAAGGGTAAATCTCTCCCCATCTTCACCTCTCACATTTACTTACCAAGATTCAGATTTCTACGCTCAGATATGCAGCTACTGGCTGAGGCTGAAATTCTATACATATTGGTTAAGGCAACAAGTTAAAAAGCCAAAGATTCTGAGTTCTAGTCCTGCTGTAGCCATGAAAACCAGCTGGGTGAACTTGGGCCAATCATTTTCTCTCAGTCCAACCCATCTCTCAGAGTTGTTGTGGGGAAAGTAGGAGGAGGAAGGTATATTGGGTATGTTTATTGCCTTGAGTTGTTTGTAAAAGCCGGGTTCAAATAAATAAATTCCACTGAAAAGAATGAGACTTGCTTTTAAGAAAAAATGCATAGGATCAGGGTCAAGCACTTAATGAATGCATAAAGATTTTCATGTGATTACTGTACATGATGAACAAAATTTTGCCAGTCCTGCTTTCCTGTGTTTTTTAATTGGACACAGAGTGTACTAAAAATATTTTCACCATTTGGAAAGACAAAAGAATTATCTGGTTTATCAAGCACTTCCATAGTTTAACAATACAATTCCACATGCATGTGCTTGCACTATGCTTTTACTTATATGGATCTGTGATATAGGTCACTGTTTTCTATTCTTCTTAACTATAGCAAAGCTCAATTATAGCAAGAGTTGATTTTCCAGGTACAGACAACTTCCTCAGTCATACTCACTGTGAGAAGGTTTCTTGGCCAGTTCATAAAGCTATGGAGTCCATTAGCTTTTTTGATAAGCTCTGGTCCCTGGAACAGCATGAAATATTGTCATGAGTACCCATCACATTACTAGTGCCAAGATCCTTAGCATGTTGCATGAACCCATTTACTATTGCTTACACACTATGAATTTAGTATGTTGGGCTTGATGAATAAATCATAGCTAAACATGCAACATCGAGCTATATTTTGCCAATTTTGCAAGTTCATGCTAAAGTAGTTCCAAGATAGATGCATTATACATTCAGTGATTTTATGCAAACCCAAAAGGGTATGGGAATAAACATAAATCTCTGGTTATTTGTGCTATTATAACATCTCTGTGTATGCTTTAGAGGCCAAACACAGACAGGCTACACAAGATAAATGATACAGTAGTTATCAAACTAAACTAGAAACCAAGAAATTTCTGGCTCTATTTGTTACCTTTGCTATATGCTTATTACGAATCCTGGATAAGTAATTCTCAAATGTTCATAATCAGTTGCAACACACAGTGATTCTACTTTAGAGAGGTGATATAGCATAAGATGCTAATGAAGTGTTTGAAACTACAATATGCAAATCAATTATTTCTTTAACTGAGTTACAGTCCATTCATTGGAAGCAAAAGCCATAATCAAAACAGGGACACATGATGAAGGGATGTACAACAGGCAAATTAACTTAACCAATTCCAAAACATTTAAGAACAGAAATCTGATGAAGAGACAGGTATCTTGCTGGCTATGCTATTGTAAGAGAAGTGGCAGAACTTGGGTCAGAAGAAGAATCAGTTTAGAATCACTATGTACAATCCCCCTCCCCCTGAATTCAGATTAACAGAGTTGTAAGGGATCTTGAAGGTCATCTAGTCCAGCCCCCTGCCCAAGCAGACCCTACACCATTTTTTACAGATGGCAGTCCAGTCACTTCTTGAAAACTTCCAGTGATGAAGGCACCTGTTCCATTTGTTGATCTGTTAGAAAAGTTCTCCTTATTTCCAGGTTGAATCTCTCTTTGTTGAGTTTCCATTCATTATTTCTTGTCTGACTTTCAGGTGCTTTGGAAAATAGCTTGCCACCTCTCTGTGGCAGCCCCTCAAATATTGGACAACTGCTATCATGTCTCCCCTGGTCCTTCTCTTTACTAGACTAGCCAAGCCCAGTTCCTGTAACCGTTCTTCATATGTTTTCTTTCTCCTGTCCCCTAATCACCCTAGTTGCTCCTCTCTGCACTCTTTCTAGAGTCTCAACATCTTTTTTATAGTATGGTGACAAAGCTGGGATGCAGTACTCTAGGTATGGTCTTACTAAGGCTTTATAGAGAGGTATTAGTATCTCCCTTGATCTTGATTGTATCCTTCTGTTAATGCAATTTAGGATTGCATTGGCTTTTTTGGCTGCCACCACACACTGTTGGCTCATATTTAATTGGTTGCCCACTAAGACTCCAAGATCCCTCTCACAGTTACTGCTGTTAAGCCTGGTTTCACCCAGTCTACATACTTCTGGTTTTTCCTGCCTAAGACTTTACTTTTCTTTACATTGAATTTCACTTTGTTAGATAGGGTGCAGTGTTCAAGTCTGGATCATGAGCCTATCATCTAGGGTGTTGGCTATTCCTGCCAGTTTAGTATCATCCGCAAATTTGGTAAATTCCCCTTCTATTTCTTCATCTAAGTCATTTATGAAGATATTGAAGTGTATTGGGACTAGGACAGAACCTTGTGGTCCCCCACTGCTTACCTCCTCTCATGTAGATGTAGTACCATTAAGGACTACTTGTTGAATATGGTTTGTCAGCTAGTTACAAATCCATCTGATAGTGATGCTATCTATCCCAGTGGTTGCCAACTGGTGGTCTGCAGCCCACTGGTGATCCGTGAGAAAATTTTGGTGGTCTGCAGAGAAATGTCACCCCCAGAGCATGCCCCCAAAGCAATTAATCCAGGCTGTGCGGGAACACAAGGCTGAGCCTCCCACATGGCCCATGAGAACACAAGGCTTGCATCGGAATAACACGAGGTAGTGAGGGGAGGGGGGAAAGGGCGGAGGGGGGGAAACTTGCCTGCCACTGGGCTGCTTCTTTTCACTTCTTTCTTTTCCTGCTTTTGGCTGCATGCAAGGAAAGCAGCAAAAGTCCTTCTCTCCCCCAAACTCCTCAGAAATTAGTCTTTGGGACCCTGTAAGGCATCCTGATCCAAGAGGCTGTGCCAGCAAAGACTCATTTCTGACGGAGTTTGGGGGGAGAGAAAGAAAGACTTCTGTTGCTTCTGCTGCTTTCCTTGCATGAAGCAAAAAATCTCTCCCCCCCCCCCCCTTGGTATCCTGCGATCCCAAATAAAGAACGATTGATCGGTAGGAAAACGGGGTGGGGAATTTTCCTGCAGACTTTTTCCCCTCACTACCTCGTGTTATTCCGATGCAAGCCTTTCCTAGGGTCCCTGTAGACAGAAAATTTCCCACCACATGTCCTACCGATCGCAGAATAGAATCTCTCTGTTTCTCTCTCCCTGAGAATGGAGCTGAAAAGCAGGTTAGGAATGTGGCTGCCTTGGAGTGGGTGGAGGTGTGCAAGGGACCTCTGTTAGTTTGTGTTTGTGTGGTGTGTGTGTGTGTGTGTGTGTGTGAGAGAGAGAGAGAGAGAGAGAGAGAGGGAACATCAACACCAGCCCTCCAAGGTTAGATCAGATCTCTCTCTCCCACTTCCACTGAGAACGGAGCTGAAAAGCAGGTTAGGAATGTGGCTGCCTTGGAGTGGGTGGGGGTGTGTGAGGGCCGTGTGTGTGTGTGTGTGTGTGTGTGTGTGTGTGTGTGTGAGAGAGAGAGAGAGAGAGAGAGAGAGAGAGAGAGAGAGACAGGAATATCACCACCAGCTGGGGTTAGATCAGATCTCTCACTCTGTCTCTCTCTCACCAATGTCAGCAAGCCATCGTCAGTCAAAATTCATATTAGTGGTCCGCGGGATTTAAAATTATGAATTTGGTGGTCCCTGAGGTCCAAAAGGTTGGCAACCCCGATCTATCCCACTTTTGTCTAGCTTATCAAGAAGTAGGTTGTGGTGTACTTTGTCGAATGCCTTGCTGAAGTCAAAGTATATTATGTCCATAATATTTTGCTGGATTCTATGGATCCTTAACTAACTCCAAGCAGGTGCCTGCTGTTAATTGTGAAGCCTGTGCATAGGTGTTTAGCAATAAATAAATAAATTTATTTATTTATTAGATTTGTGAGCAGCCCATCTTATCTAGAGGCAATATTTAATTAGACCTTTATATGTGTACCTGGTCTTTCACACCTGACAACTGTACATACTAGATATTTCAGTTATTAGTGATGTTTTTGCTAAATCTTTTCGGCATAAACCCCATATAAACCAAATATAAGGCAGTGAACAAGCAGGAAATAGAGGAATTATCACTTTTTCTATCTTGTTTTAATTTATTAAATAGTTCTACTATAACTGTATTTCATCAACTTCATATTACAGTGAGAAAGTGGTAGGAGAATGGCTTTATATTCATATAAATACTTATTCCATAATAAACTTTGAAACAAATAATCAAATATCCTAGGTTCTTGAATGAACCATAAACTAGCTGCAATAGGTCAATTCATACAACAAACAGCTCAAATACAATCAGAATTTGTGGTTTTACCTTATTATTTAAATACAGCCAATTTACAGGTAGCTAATTTATGGTTCAGTGTGTTGCAAAACTAGGGGATATTTGATCAGTAACAATCCTATAACTCGGCATTAATTTCAGATTGAAGCTCAGATTAAGACCAAAAGAAATATGCTGTATTCAAAGAACATAATAAGCCATGGTTTGAATAACCGTGATTTTAATAAAGTTGAATGATTCTATAAAATCTAAAACACATAAATAAGCAAAATACAATATGACTTGATGGTGTATGTTATGAAAATCCAGCCCCAACTAAAGTTCAATCTTCCAAATCAAACATGTGGCTTAGGGCTGGTTTGGGTTGTCCTCTCTGGAACAAATATTGTAAATGTCCTGGGAATACTGTCACATATCACACTGCTAAAAAGTTATATAGTACATAGGTTAAAACTAGGACTGCAGAAAAACAATTACTACCAACCTCCTTTTCATCGGGGACCTACATACTACATGAGTCAAAAAGAACCCTGTGAAAATATTTACAGACCCCTCACATCCCGGACATAAACTGTTTCAAGTCCTTCTCTCAAAACGACGCTATAGAGCACTGCACACTAGACACAAGAACAGTTTTTTCCCAAATGCCATCAATTTGCTAAACAAATAATTCCCTCAACACTGTCCAACTATTTACAATGTCTGCACTCCTATTATTATTAATCTTCTCCTCACTCCTTATTGCCTATTCCCTCCCACTTGTCACTGTATAACTGTAACTTTGTCGCTTGTATTCTTACGATCTATATTGTTTCTGTACTATTGACTGTTTCCTAGTATGATTTGATTGCCTATTGTACACTATGACTATTATTAAGAGTTGTACCTTATGATTCTTGACGAATGCATCTTTTCTTTTATGTATACTAAGAGCATTTGCACCAAGACAAATTCCTTGTGTGTTCAATCACACTTGACCAATAAAGAATTCTAATCTGTCTTGTAGCAGGTCCCAGTAATGAGTTGTCCCAAGACATCTACATCAGAACTCTAGTTTTCTCCCTAAGAGTGCTGGTACAACTCTAGTCTATGCGGAAGGCTCGACTTACGGGTCGCATGCCCAGATGATAGGTGTTGCCTAAGCACAGGCGGCATCCCAGCGCATCTAGCTGCAAAGCGGTGAGTCCTTTCATGGTTCCCTGCGTGCCGACAGGCATGAAGACCGGGCAATCAACGAGACCATGCGGTAGTCGCAGCTCACAAACACGAGCCTTACTCTGCTTACATTCTGCAACCACGCGCAGGGAGAGCGTTGCCGACATAGCAATAAGAAGATCTGCCGCCAGACATCATATGATGTCACTGCCGGAGGCGGAGTTATGGTGGCGGAAAAGCGGAAAAGCCGCTTCTTTCCTGCAACAGGAATAAAAGATATTCCGCCCTTTTTTCCTTGCCCTTTGTCTCAAAACGTCATTGGTTTAACATCTAAACTACGACTATAGAACTATAAAAAATAGAGAGACAACTTTGTTGACTATTATCCCTTCACCAATAAGCACTCGAAACGGCTTACATTGCAAACAAAACAACAGTTCGTGGGAAGATTCCCATGCCCTGCTATATGCTAAAACTTTGGGAACTCTATTGGAGTCTGACTGATAAAGTTTGCTGTGGGGGCCTGCTTCTCTGAGGTTCTTTGCTAGGTTTAGTTTAGTTCTGTTTTTTTACTCTGAATACCTACATCTTGGCTGCTTTGTCAGTTCCTATTTATGGGCTAGCAATAGATACAAATGCAAATAATTGCAATTTATTTAATCGTGCACAGTTAGACAAGCGAAGGCTTTTTGTGATTTATGAAGTAGATCTGAATGAAGAGGATATCAGTAAGATAACCCTAGCTTTCTAAGACAAAATCAGCTTTCTGAAGGACTTGGGAAGAGATGCTATTTGTAGGGAAAATCAATGAACTGAGGTGTGGAACAGCATGGTATAGCGGGAGAACGGAGTTTCTGAGATATTTTTTCTATATCCATAAGAACGTGCCACTTTATTAATAAAAGCATCATAACATTGCATTATGTTGTTGGAAGTTAAAAGCCACCACTCTCCTAGAAAAATGAAATATTTTAGGATATACTAAAAAGGCAAAATATCCCCCACCTTTGTTAATGAGCCATTAAGGCCTGGGACAGTCTATTCTACATAACAAAGATCTACCTCCTTCAGGCAGAGCCATGTAATTGACCTTCATTGCACCACCCACCAAGTTTCAACCAAACTTAGAACATGGACAACCTACAAAGATAGCTATGACCTCTGACAACAACCAATCAGGATACTGTTCCTGTGCCCCAGGAAGTTCAAAGCCAGAGAAGGTATAAAACCCAGGGACTCTCAGTGTCAGCCTTCAAGATGTCTTTCCTTTGTTTTGCATCTTTCAGCTGTTGTAAGTAATGTGGGGAGGAGGGGTGAAATAGTTGTGGGAAGTGAGCTGGCGGTTTTGAGAATAAACTGTATAAGTTGGGGGGGAAATTTCTTGTTTATGCTTCTTTCCTGTGCTATGCGCAAGCACACCTCTTTATCAAAATAAGCCAAGGTTGTTAGATATTCAATGGGGAAAAGTCAGTGATGTCAGACTTCCCCCACTGGTTCATTTTCCAGGCGGGTAAATGAACAGCCATCAGTGGCTGAAATTGTGGACAGCAGCCTGTAAAAAGACCAGCATGCACACTGGGTAGCATTCTTTTGTTCAGAACTAAATAAAGAAATCCTTTCCCTCTACCGTCCTGCCTCTTCAATCCAGCCCATATCTAACACTGGCAATGAGGATGGGATTCTAGAAGAGAACAAAGGAAACAAGGCGAAGATGGAAAATTCTAACAACAGAATGCTGCTATCACCGTGCTGATTATCAGAATATCCACCCATGCTCAACCAGAACCTTTTGATCCAAAAAAGCATGACTGGGTTGTGTACATGGGACAATTTTGAATGTTTTTAGAAGCAAATTCACTGCAGGATGCAAAAGAACAGAGGAAGAGAGCTCTATTCCTGGGATATTGTGGAAATCGCCTCTACAAAATGGCTAGAACCCTAGCTGCTCCCAAAGATGTGGAAACAATGGAATGGAAATAATTACAGAAGATGTTAGAACATTATGCTCCCACTGCATTGTCACTGGCTCACCGACTTGACTTTTACCGCAGAGAACAGAAACCAGGTGAAACCATAAATGATTACCTTACAAACCTACGAAATATTGCTGCAGGTTGTGAGTTTGAAAATGTGGAAATAACTTTAAGAGATAGAATTGTAGTTGGAATGAGGGACCTGAG